GGCATGGGAGGGAAGGAAGACGCCGTTCCGTTTTACTGCTGAGCACGAATGCGCCTGCTTTTGTGTATCCACTCATCCGTTGACGGATCTGTGGGTCGGTTCCACTTCCGGCTATCATTCATGGCGGGGTTTTTGTGCAGACATACGCTTTGGTTGCCAGAAGTGGAATGGACAGGTCGGACGGGTTGGGCTGCAGTTCAGAAACCACCAGCAGCACCACGGCTGGACTCCGCGGCTGTCAGTTTGGCTTTGGTTGATAAGGAGCTGGGGGGGGGCGGGGGGGCGCTGTCAGGTAACTGTTGGACTGCTGATGGAAATGTCAGCTGATGGGACTCAGGAGCCCGACTGCTGAAGAAGGATGGACAGTCAGCGTCTGTAAAGATGTACAGCCTTGGAAACCCCAGGGTGCAGTTCTCCGTCCTGTAGGGTGACGGAGTTAGAACTGACCTGGTGGCAGAGGGTGGGGTGCAGTGACTGTCAGGAGTGCTGGTGATGCAGCGATTAACGTGCTCGGCTGTGAACCTGAAGGAGGGCAGTCCTACCCCCTCAGCTACTCTGTGCAGACTCACCGCCTGGGAAACCCCGTGAGGAAGTTCCGCCCGGGCCTAGAGGGTCTCCTCGGGGAGCCCACCTGGACCTGACAGCAGTTGGGTGTCGTAACCTGTGGTTTACATTTCCAGGGGCCGCCCAGCTGTTTCTAACGTGGGTGGATCCCTGTACATCCTCCACCCCCACCCCACGCAGGGTGCGAGGACTCGCCTTCTCTGCCTTCCCATTGGGTCCGTCTGAGGAGGTTCCTAGGCAGAACAGCCTGAAGGATGAGGATGTGAATCCCCCCAGCCTCCCTGCGGAAGAAAGGCCTGGCAACCTGCTTTAGTTCACGTCCCGGCCCAGGGACACCAGGCAACAGGGGAGTTCTGTAACAGAGGAGGTCACCAGGAGCCGGAATTGGCTTACCAGCGGTGGGGGTAGGTGTTTCTTGGGGTACTCAGTGTGAAGCAGTGTTTAATTGTGTGTACTCCCCACGCCCACCCCCACACCCACCACCACCACTTGTGGTGTACATTTCCCTGAATACTAGCGATGTTGAGTGTCTATTCCCGCGCCATTTAACCCGAGCTGTCTCTGGTTATTGAGTTGTAAGCTTACAGAAGGATCTCTTCCCCACGTGTGTGTCATGGTCTGTTCTACTCTTTGTAAGATGCCACTCAGAAGGGTTCAGGACCAGTTGAGTGGAAGGTGGAAGGAAGCTGAGGCTGCTACTCCCGTGAAGATTTTCAGAAGGCTCGGAGACCCAAAGGGGCACTTCTTCTCTGCATCCTAGGGTCCCTGTGTCTTAAGGGTCCCACTGCTGAGCCTGGTCTCGTTTATGATCTTGAATTTTGTCCTGCATTTTCCTCCTACTCCATCCAAGACCTCCTCACGGGGTCCTTTCAAGAGCAGTGGAAATAATAGCTCGGTCTGAGACCGGTCTCGGGATTGTGGAGATGGGACGTTTGTGTGGTCCACTAGCTCACCGGACTAACTGTCTCCAGGTGTCGTGATTCTCATCACTCTGCACAAGTAGATGCTTAGGTAGAAATGCAATCCTAATAATAATAATTTATAAGTTATCAAGGGGTCACCAGAGTGAGGGGAGTGGAGGAAAAGAGAGGCACAGAGACCAAGGGCTTACCTAGAAAGTACAAATGTTTAGAAAAAAAGTACAAATGTTTAGAAAATGATGATGGCAGCATATGTACAAATATGCTTGATACGATGGATGGTGTTCAATGTTATAAGAGCTGTAAGAGCCACCAAGAAAATTATTTTTAAAAAACATCGGATGAGCATTGTTATGCCCAAATGCACAGTATGTTCATTGTTGTTGTCAGGCACCGTGTAATTGACTCCAACCCAGACTGATCCTGTACAGCCCACGACGACTGTCCTGAGGGTTCCCCACGGCTGCGGTCTCTATGGGAGCAGATCACTGGGCTTGTCTCCCCGGGGCCACTGGGTGGGTTTAATCCACTGACCTGTGGGTGGCCGCCCAGCATGCAATGCGGTGCCACCAGGATTTACTACTAATGGTGTTTCAGGAACCGGTAAGTCTTGGGAGGAAAGTAAATCTTTAAGCCGGTGGTTTGACATGTTCCTGGGCTCAGCTTGCTGGTGCTCTTGCTGGAACGTGACGTGACGTGAGCTGAATCACACGGTCAAACGCTACCCTATAGTGCTGACTGGCATTTGCCAGTGTATGAGTATTGGCTGAGATCTGCCCTACATGCGTGGCTTCATTCCACACAACCCGTTTCAATGTGCCTCTGTGATCAGTGGCTAGCTGCAGACAAGTTCCCTCCCTCAGATGAGTGGTCTTAGTCTTGTTAGGGTGCTTTCCCCCCAAAATGATGCACTCCAATCAAGTGGGTCCCAAGGAGGCCTACTGGACCAGTTCAATGGAAAGGCGAGGGTGCCAGCGGAGAAAGCTGTGGCGACAGCTGTTTGGCATCCTAAACGGAGGTACTTTAGATACGCTTTCTCCAAAGATACCAGACAATCCTAGGGGCCGACTGGAACGTTCAGAAAATGGAAGGCTGCACCGGTGACAGGTGTACGAAGGTGTGTTTCTCTTTCCTTTCCATCACAGAGCCCTGCTCATTCTTTGGGAGTACCAGCAACTGTCCAGTGAGTTTCCTTGGAAGGCTTAGCTCATCTTGACCCTTTTTCTTCAACAAACTCAGAGCGTGTGGAAAGGTGCACAAATTGAGCCCCTCAAGAATGTCTAAACTGCCCTTTTCTCCCCCCGTCATTTTCTTAGGAGCTCTTCCCTATGTCATACCATCCCATGATTCAGGTGGATCGAGCATCATTGTACAGTTGCTACCACAATGAGTTTCAAAACAAGTTCTTTCTTCTTGAACTCTTTGATATCAGCTCCCCTTTATCCCCATCCTCCCCCAAACTGCCATTTTGATCACGTGAACAGAGTTAGAGAGATGCACACCTCCCTGTTAGAAGTGTGTGTGTGCATCTGGGCGGATGAGATGCTGAGATTCACATTTGCCATTTTCAGTAAAGGCTTCTGTACTTCCTAGGCACTCTCGTGGTAAAGTAGCCGTGCCTCGGGCTGCGGCTGCAAGGTCAGGGCAGCAGTTCAGAACCCTCAGCCGCTTCTTGGGAGAAAGATGGGCTTTCTCCTCCCGAGGAGTTACCATCTCAGAAACGTACAGAGGCAGTGCTACCCTGTCCTGTAGGGTCACTGAGCAGGCAGCACCTGCGTGGCAGTGAGTTTGAGTTTGGGGGTTCTATGATACTTTTTATAGCAGTAATTTTTTACGTACATTCATATTATCTCATAATAGATTGGTTTATAATAATAAGCAACCACAGATTGATTATATATTGTAAATAAATTTTATATACTTTTTTTTTAACAAGAACCCCCCTGAAACAGTAAAATCCTACTAGAGAAGAATAAGGTTCACTGTTTATTATTATTGTTATCATGGTTGCTCGTTCTTTTAAAACACACACCTGTTGTGCCTCTGGTGGCACACATGGTTCAGAGCGAGTAGACAAGATCGACTCTTCCGATCCCCCCAGAGGCACTTTCAAAGACGAGCCTGGCGATTGCTTCGGGAAGTTCATGGCCCTGAAAACCCTGGGGAATCGGTCTGCTCTGCACACAGGGGTGACCATAAGTTGGAATCAACTCGTCGCTCGTCTGATGAAAAAATATAGAGACTGGCTCACGTTGGTAATTTTCAAGAATTCGGTGTTCTTAGGAACTCTTGTTGGAAATGCGGAAGCTCTCACCCCGCGTAGGTCTCTCCCTGGGGGCTAACCTGGGGACACAGCCGTTTCACATCGTGCGTTCGGTGGGCCTGTGCCGTCAGTTACTGATGACACGTCTTACGAAGGGATCCAGGTGGATCATTTAGCTCTGCCATTACTCCCTGTCTAGTCTGTTTATCTGACCGTTTCCTGTTTGAGTTGATAGCCTCACGTCGAATTAATGACACGCCCCCTTCGTTCGGTCTCCCGAGAGAGGCGGCCGCGGCTTGTCGGTCCACACACGTTTCTGTGCTCCTAGGGCATTTTGGAAAAATCGAAGGCCAAGGGTGTCCCCCTCGTCGTGGATGCGGTAAGTGCGCCCTGTCCCCACCCTCGCCCTCGCCCTGTCCGGCACGGCACACAGCAAGGGCACCTGACAGCCATGGGGTCAATGCCACTGCTTTCCCGTTTCGCAGGACGGCTTGTGGCTGATCGCACAGCAGCCGAGCCTCATCCAAGGCTACCCGAAGGCCGTTCTGACCCCCAACTACATGGAGTTCAGCAGGCTCTATGAAGCTGTGGTGAGTTTGTCCTCCAGGTGCGAGCCCCAGGAACCCAGCCCCTCCACGGGTGCACATCTTTGCCTGGGTACAGACTGGCAAATGGCAAGTGATATTTTCCCACCCTCGTTTCTGGGAGACACTGGTTTCACCCGGGTGCCTGCCAGTTGTTAACTGGAAGCACCTTCCCTCCCCTGGCAGCACGGATCCCAGTGGTGCATCTTGGAGCGGCTGAGCCCTGGTGTGTTGGGGTCGGGGTCCCCTTCCACCGCTTACTCTGGGCAAAGCACGCCGTCTCTGACTTCCTATGGCCTCATCTGTGAAATATGGACCGTGACATGTCTGCTTCAGAGGGCTTTGGTGAAGAAGTGAAATAACAGATGTCTATCAGTTCCTCTTGACTTAGCCAATGCCCCAAAACATTCACCCAGCTCATCACCACCAGCATGTGTGTTCCTTCTGCAAAACTTGACAAAAACTGACCACAGGCATTATGAACTCTGGTCGGGCAAGACCGCGGGGAGGTCCCTAGAGCACTATTTCGGCCACAGCACCTGTGTGGGACCCAGCTGAGGTACACTGGTTAGCGGTGGCTAGCGGGGCCTCTCTCTGTGCTAAGAGAATGTGAGCTTCTGGAAGCTGGGGCCAGAAATCCACCTTGGAGCAAGTGCCCACGAGGGTTTGGGGAATCACCAGTGCACAGGACGGCAGCGCTCACTGCCCCGGTGCGTGTGTCTGCGGCCCCCTTTCAGGCCTTGTAATGACGACATTGATTTGCTTCTCCCCCTCTGCTGTTCCTGGGGTTCTCTGCAGCTTAGAGATCCCGTAGACAGCAACGATCATCACGGAGCCGTGCTGCGTCTCAGCCAAGCCCTGGGGAACCTGACCATTGTTCAGAAAGGAGAGCGAGATGTGATCTCAGACGGCGAGCAGGGTGAGTGGTGTGTTTCCCCCCTGCTGGGTAACCAGCACCGCGCCAGCTAGCTTGCCCACGTTTGGGTGCGGGACGATGAAGGACCAGCCCGGTGTGTGCCGCTGGCCCACGCCATTCAGGGCTGCTCTGTGCATATCCGTCAGTGCAAAAAGAGGGACTTCCCCAGGAGTCTAGCAACCAAGACGACTTCAGAGTCCCGGTTTTGTTTAACTTTTCACGATTGTATGAGAGGAACTGATCACAGTGAGTGACCGCATTGAAAAATTTAAAGATATATGGTGCCTTGGCCCTTTATACATTAGCAGGATTTCTGAGATACAGCCCAGTGGTAAGACGATTGTAGCAACACATCCACTCGTGTCTTCTCTGCTTCTTTGAACCAGTGGCTCCTTGTCTTCAAAGCCATCAACTACACTTGCTGCTGTTTTCGGTTCTATCCTCGGCCATTCATTCCTCTGCCCCTGGAGAGCTTCATGTTAACATTTGTAAGCAGGTGTGGAACATCGGTTTTAAAGGATGTACCAGAACATCACCTGGAGCAGTGTTGAAGAGAACTGATAGCCACCTGGCCCCGTGGGAAAAAGAGTGCTGAAAGTCGGGGGGGGGAGGGAGTGTTGAAGGAGGAAGCCAAGGATTTGCCCTTCTGCTGGAGGTCTTCCTCAGGCAAAGTGGGAAAGCCCGGCTCCCGGGGACCAGATGAGAGGGGCCTTAGAAGAGATGGCTCACAGCATGCCACGGCTTCTCTAGTGTAGTGGTCATTAACGTGGACATTTCCACGTCAGAGTCTTGAGGAAAAATGATCTCAGAAGTGCATGTGAGTTATTTTAAAGGCCGAGGTATTTACATGCATACCTTTATTACTTCTTCAATGTTCCCCAGAGATTGTTCTCCTGAAGGCTAAAGCGTTGTCATCTTGTGAGCCGCATTGACCAAGAACAGCAATCTTTTCTTCTTCCTCAGTCTCAAGGGAGAGACGGCATATGACGAACGCTGTGGCTGGTCGTGCGCCTGGTCTGTACTCACACTAGTGGCCTCGTCATCCTCCTTCACAGGAGGGTTCCCTGATTGGATGCGGTGGTCCTCGTTTTCCCGTGGGCGTGGCACGCTGAAGGCTCACCCCTCCCCTGGACCCCGTGCCACCACCCTGTCATCTGCAGCTCACCTGCAGTCATTTGGATATTGTATTACGTTCTGTCCCCGCTGTCTACCCAGCCGCCTGTGGTCCAAAGGGCCTCATGTACCCAAGGACTGAGTTCAGAAGGGCCTGGGAAGGAAGGGGACGGGGACCAGGAGACAGGAGACGGCAGTGGACTGCATGAGGCGTGCTCCATTCATTGAGGGAACTGCGATGGGGAAGTTGACTCAGAGTGGGTGTTAGTGCTCCGTGGCTCCGCACCTCAGTGCACAAGAAAAAGCTCAAAGGAAACGTTTTCAATATTAAAACCAAAAAACAACCTGAAGAAAACACAAGTGCGGACGCTAGCAGTGGAGAGCTTCCTCGGGTGCCTGGCGAGACAGGTCACTGCTGTCACTCTCACACGAACCTGTTGACATCGGCCACGGAGAGCGACGAGCAGCAGGGACAAGGGGCTGAGAAAACTGGCTTCACGTGTGCACCGGAGCAGTGAGGCGCACGGCTAGGGGTTATGCAGCACTCTAACCTTCTGAACGAGGCGGGCCCTCCACAAGGTGGCTGCCACAAGGGCCCAAACACAAGTGTTTGGTTCTGTTGCACCCAGGCTCGCTCTGACTCGGAACCGACTCCCCGGCACCACACAACCACCTTTCCACAGAGCTGCTTTCTGCAGGACAAAGCTTGGGTCCCTAGGGACAGAGCAGCTGTGTGGGCTAGTGGGGTCAGGGTGAAGAGGGAAGGAAGGCTTAGGCATTCTCCAGGAGCCCTGGGGCACATGGCTAAGTGCTCGGCTGCTGACTGAGAGGTTGATGGTTCACACCCACCCAGCAGCTCTGCAGGAGAGAGACCTGGTGATCAGTGATCTGCTTCCGTAAAGATCCCGGCCTAGGAGCCCCTGTGGGGCAGTGCTACTCTGTCTCCTGGGGTCACTGTGCCTCAGCATACCCTCCATGTCACCTAGCAACAGCAAAAACATATAGGTACTTAATGTATGCGCCCAGGCACACACATACAACTATAGGCAGCAGACACCAGAAATATATGTGATTTAGGATAGAGCAACTTATTTTTAAGACCCTGACCAAAGGATTAGAAAGTTATAATTTATAGAGTCCTTGCCACCATGAATTGGCTTCTCCATTAACGACTGGAAGTCACGATCATTTGTGAAGTTCATTCAAGGTTGTGTTTGTCCTAGAACGTCATCACGGAGTCTGCTTAAAGCAAAGCCAGTTTATTGAGGGATGGAACCACCCCCCACAACCCACTGCCATCAAGTTGATTCCAATTCAGTCAGGACAGAGTAGAAATGCTCTAGGAGTTTCCCAGACTGAATCTTCACAAAGCAAGACTGACTGCCTCAACTTTCTCTGAAGCTGGGTTCGAACTGCTGACCTGGGGGTAGCAGTCCAATGTTGAGTACAGTGTGCCACCAGGATGCCTACAGATGGATATTAAACTGCCCACGGCCACTGAGTCCATTCCAGCCGATCGTGACTCCCTAGGACAGAGCAGGACTGACTGGGTTTCTGAGACTGTTAATCTCTCTGGAAGTGGACTGCCTCTCATCTGGCTCCCGAGGAGAAACTGGTGTGTTTGAACTGCTCACCTTGTATTTAGCATCCTGACTTGTAACCCACTGTGCCACCAGGGCTCCATGGAGGGAGACAGTGAATCACAAATCTAGGCAGCACAAAGCTACCAGGCAGTCCCAATTGCATCCCCAGGTCAGAGACTGTGCTGCAGGGCTTAAAGGTTAAAATACACGGAACGCACCATAAAGCAGCAGCACTGGTAGCTTAGTGGTAACGCATTGGGCTACTAACGGGAAGGTCAGTAGTTCAAAATCACTGTCTAGTCCACGGGAGAAAAATGAAGCTTTTTACTCCCATAAAGAGTCTCAGCTAATAGCGAGCTTAACAGTCTCAGGAACCCACAAGGGCAGCTCTTCCCTGTTCTATAGGGTCGCTATGAGTCAGTACCAACTCCATGAACTGAGTTTTTGAGTTGAGAGCAGTTTAAGCATTGTTTTGATTGGCTAGCTAGAGTTAGTTATTCAGATTGCCTGTTTTTGGTAAATCATTCGGGAAATTCCTTCACTCACTCCCATGGAGTCAATCCTGACTTGTGACGCTGTGGACAGGATAGACCTTTTCCCGTGAGTTTTTGAGGCTGTAAATCTTTACAGGAGTAGAAAGCCTCATCTTTCTCCTGGGGAGTAGCTGGGGAGTTTGAACTGCAGACCTTGTGGTTCTCAACCCAATGCATAGTGCACTACGTGCTGCCAAGAACATATCCAGGCAAGTCCATCCTGTTTATGGACTTCCTGAGGGCAAGCTGTCCCTCCCTGGTTTACCATCAGTAGTCATGAGCCGCTTCTTCTGAAACAGCAGCTGAACCTCTGACAAGGAGTGGAGTTGGACCTCCTGTAAGCCATCTTCGTTCTGCCAGGCACCCAGGTTACGGAGCGTCCTCATGTTCACATCTCTGAAGGTGAATGTGTTTGAAGCGTGGGATACACACAAAAGCTCACCACCCTCTGTGGGTTTGTAGCACCTGAGGAATCATTCTATTTATAGCATGTTCTTCCTGGACGTTCTTTTTTAGCCGACAAATCGATGTTCTGCCTCCTCCTTGTGCTCGGACGACTGTTTTGTGAATTCGCCACGTCTCCGCGGAGTAGCCACCCCTGCCGGGCAGGTGGTCCGTCTTTCTGCATTTACGTGTGATCTGGGGCTGACCTTACTCCAGTGTCTCCTGTCAAATCCGGGCCAGGGTGGGGGAGCACTTCAGAAAGTTTGTGCAAAAATAGAACTGAAAGGTACTGATTGAAGCCGCCTCAGTAAAGCAGACTCAGATTCTTCTAAGAAACAGGAGGCAACAGCAGGCAGTCTAAAGGGAGCTTGCAGCGGGGGGCAACAGGCCCACTTCTCTCGGCTAGGGCACCCCCCCTTTTGAGGGGGGCGCTAAGGTAACCCCCTGGGCTAACGTCTGCTTCTGGTCTGCTTCTGTTTAGTGCTCGTGTGCAGTCAAGAAGGCAGCAGCCGCAGGTGTGGCGGGCAAGGCGACCTTCTCTCAGGCTCCCTGGGCGTCCTGGTGCACTGGGCGCTGCTGGCCGGCTCGGAGAAAACAAACGGGTACGCCCCCATCGGAAGGGCGCGTGCTGTAAGGTTGCTGAATTTTGTTAAGATGTTCCAGTAGCTCACCCATTGGATAAGCAGTTTCATTAAACGAAAAGTATTAGTGTTGCCTTGAAGACATTCCTGGGCAGAAAGGAATCCTGCCTGTCGAGTTAAGACACCTGGGGCCCGTCCCAGTTGGGCTCAGTGTATGGGCTCTGGGGGATCAGTTAACTTGGGGGAGAGCTTTAGGAGCCCCAAACCCACTTCCAGGGAGAGCCCATTCTGTCTGGGTAGGGTTTCTGAAAAGGTAAATCTTTACTGGATTAGACAGCCTCATCTTTCTCCCAAGGAAGTGGCTGGTGGGTTTGAACCGATGACCCTGTGGTTAGCAGGCCACTGCACCACCGTGGCCCCTGTGGCCTTAAAGAGGTAGTTTTCTTTTATGAAAGACAGCAGAAGTTAAAATGCCCCTCTAGTTTGTTCACTGTGCCCCCAAATTGCCTTCTGTTCTGTCCTAAAGCATTCTCTACATGATATTTTTGCTATATGCAAAATATCTGCTGTAATTGTCAGGGACTAAGAAAGATGATTAATGCGGTTTTAAAAGTGTAAACCTACATATACACAGGGGTGAGGGAGTGAGCTTCAAAGAACTGGTGGAAAAATGCCATTATCTTTTCATTTGATTTTTCCACAAACTTTTTGAAGCTGCCATATCTAAACATTTGTCAGTGCAGCATTTTTCCAGGTGTACAAACTATTGAGTGATGCAAGCGGTATTCATTGTGCTGTGCAGCCACCACCCTCACCAACGTCCCCCCCCCATATACACACGCATAACCGACGGCCCCTTCTGACTCCCCCCCCCACCCCCGCACTTCCCAGTCTGCCCCTGGTCACCCCTAATCCAACCATCTCTCTACATGTGCCTGTGTTTGTCATTTCACCTGAGTGCGCTCATACACTATGGATCCTCTTGAGATTGACTTAATCCCTGAGCATAAGGTGTTTGAGGTTCGGGCATGTCACAGCATGAATCCGAGCTTCCTTTCTTTTGACGTTTCATTTGAACCAATGAAGCAGACACAAGAATGTCCTGCTCGGAAACCCCGTCCTGCCTCAGGGTGCCCCAGACTTCAGGGTGCCCGCGGAAGGCCCCGAGGTGGAGTCAGAACCTGCTCTGGGCAGTGGGTGGGCAGTAGCTGCAGGTTCCCTTGACTCAGAAAGACAGGATGTCTTTGCCCCTGAGGTTTTTAACTCTGGAAACTTCTCTAATGCCTTTCTCCCGCTTTCCTAGTTTGAACCCGCTTCTGGTGGCTGCATTTGGCGCCTGTGCCCTCACCAGGCAGTGCAACAAGCAGGCCTTTCAGAAGTCCGGCCGCTCCACCACCACCACGGACATGATCGCAGAGGTGGGGCCGGCCTTCAAGAAACTCTTTGAAACCTGAGCAAGCTGCCAACAGAAGGGGGGGAGGGGGGATGATGCATATGTATGTGATGAGTCATTTGGATACTGAATTCTGGGTAGAACGCTCGAGTTTAGGATTAATTTGGTTTATGCGGAAACTTTTTCTGAACTTGCAATATAACAATTTGGGGCTAAAATAGCATGTAGCCGGAGATGCTGTCATGTAAGGAAACATTATTCCTGGACTTTTCTTAGTTTTTCACCAAGAACCGAGGGGGGAAAAAAGATTAGGAGAAATCACATGAGAACGGAGAATTCTTCCACCAGCTCAACTGCATTTCTTGGCTTGCTCCAAGATAAGCAGAGTTGTTTTTAGTCTTTCTGTGCTTCCCCCCTTCTCGTTCTCCACCGGTGTACGTGATTTTCCTTTTATTTATCCAAGGACTTCCTTGAACCTAGCTATCTCTGTTAAAAGGACCCAGTCAGTTGCTTTCAAATATCTCCATGAGTAATGAATTGTTTTCACGTGTTTTTATTTCTTTTAAATCGGCATCCACCGAGGGTTTCTTTCGAGGGCTTCATTCAGCGTTCATTCTTCAGCTTGTTTTTCTTTCTTGAAAGCCCCAGGGCTGTGGTCTAGTTACCCCTTCAGGTCTGGAGATGAACTCACCCCCCGCCTCTGGCTCAGTTTTCAGCCCAACAAAGCAGATAGGTCAGCAAGAGCAGCGGTCACTCCAGGGAAGAGCAAGCACACATCTTCAAATAATCAGCCCTGGGAGGCCAAGGTCACCATTCAGCAGGGTTAGGAACAGGCAGAGGGAAGCAGCAAGCAAAGGAGGAGGTGAGTTAAGTGACGAAGCATTGCCCGGCGGCCATCTCTGCCAAGAAACAAAACGTATACGGATTGTTGCGTAGAAACGTGATCTGTAAACCCCCACCCAATTCACAATAAATTAAAAAAAAACAACAAAGCCAGTTGGGTTGAAAAATCCCTGGGCAGAAATTCTAAGCATTGGCTGCTAGGGTTGACTTTAAGTAGTTTAGAAGAAAGAGACAACCGATATAGAAACCATCGGAGGCAATGGCTCGAGACAGATAGGCAGCGAAAGGCTTTCTGCAATACTTCACACGTAGTACATACTGTTTCCAATTCCGTACGCACATCTGTACTTGGCAATGGCCAGCGGGCGTCAGCAAATACAGATGAACTGAGGGGATTGGTGGGATGGCTGCAGTCCCATTGGTTCTGATGTGGCCAACCAATGTTTTGTCTTTGGGGTGGGCTCTGATGGGGGGAGGCGACGAGGGGTGCGCAGTTAAGGTAGATCTAGCCATGTTGTGCTTACGTGTTTGGGAAACATCAAGCTTGTTCAGTCTGGCGTGAGGGTGGTACCCAGGATGCCCAGGAGGAAGTACTAATTGGCATCACTCTGCCTACTTATGAAACAGGACAGCTGTGCCATCTGGTCTGAAAATGTGCGTGTCCTCGGGAATATTTACAGCTGTGTGAAAAGAAACGGATCTCTGAAATTTCAGTCAGAGGCTTTCTTTTCTAGCGCGAACCTCCAGTTAGCTCATTTGGATAGTCCACGTAACAAGCCTCCTCTGGATGCATGGTTTTCTTAGAGTGGCACCTGCTTTTAAAAATAAGATTATGTATTTTTATATCTAAGCATTGGCTTATTTCCTAGGGCCATTTCTCAATGGGATTTGGTGCCCACCACATGCAGTTGAGTAAACATTTGTACTTTCTGATAATGCTCTCTCTACAGTGACTGCAAATCTGTATGCTCTTTATCGATCACCCGTGATGAGTCCTCTTTTGGTTGGTACTGACTCAAACTACCTCACCCCAAAGTGATTTTACTTTCTTATAAAACTACTGATCCACTGTCACAGCTGTGACAAAATGTTTGCTACTGTTATTTCCTGTCTTGAGACTCTTCACTGGGTACACGGGAACAGCTCTGGGGGAACCGGCCATGGGTATTTCCCCCTGTGGGTCATTCGTTACAGCCGAGCACTGATAACTATTAAAAGAGCTCATTTAAATGGAGTTTTGTATTTTTCTAAGTATCTAAGAGTCGCCTCTCAGCTTTTCTGAGGGCTTCTGTCTGATACGCCTAAGTCTCTGCATATCAAATTTGTTTTCCACCAATGCACACTAGCATTGTTCTAATTAAAAGAACAAGCCTAAAACATTTCTTTCCATAGAAAATAAAATTTAGTAAAGTCAACAAGAGCTAGTGTGTGTGTGAACATTTCTGCTTATATGGGAGGTAAAAAACCAGCACCAAGTCAGGTGCTATTTTTTTTAAAATGTCACTTCAGGTGACTTCCTAAGATGAATACATTTTCAGTAAAAAGAAATGTAAACATGTATTTCGTGTGTGTGTGTGGGGGGGGGGCGGGGGGGGGGCACTGGTTCCTGAAATGCAGAATCAGTCTCCTCTCCCTGCTTCCAACTAAGCTAGAGCGCGCAGGGTAGCAGCCAGGCCCCAGGTGCATCCTGGGGGGGAAAGGGTACCACTGACGCAGCTGCAGGTCTCCTTTCCTGAATGCTGCTTGCTCTCTGGCACCAGCTGTGTCAGTCCCGGCCATCCTGGACACCGCCTCTGCCTCTCCCTAGTGCAACTCCAGGCTGCCTCGCACCCTGCTGCCTGAGGGTCCCCGCCGTTACTGTCCCCCGGCGAGGACCAGCTGGGCTTTGTTACCCACAGCACACTTTGATAAACCGACTACCGCCAACTATTGGACCTGCCGTGTGTGTGTGGCGCAGGGGGAGGCTGGACCCTGTGCCACCAGCACTTCGAACAGTGGCAGGGTCACCCGTGGTGGGCAGGTTTCCAGGGAGCTTCCAGGCTGAGACTAGGAAGAAAGGCCTGGTGACCAACTTCTGCAGTCGCCAGTGCAAACCTGAATCGCAGCAGTGTTGTCCAACTGGCTTGCTCTGGACGCTCCAGCAGGGGTCCCTCGATGAAAGGCACAAGCACCTTCATGACGGACTCCCCGCGTGCCGGGAACTGGACAGGACTTCTCTAAAGGGAGCTTTGTGTCTGTGGCAATTGACTCTTCCAGCACTGTTATCCATCTGATTTATTTCAATGTTGACTTAAGAGACATGATTAAAAAAAAAAAAAGTACAGCCATCAACAAGTTGGTTCTGACCCGTAGCAGCCTCTACAGATGTATAGATGGCTTCAGAGGCTTCCCATCTTCCTGGGAGTTGACCGCCTCATCATTCACAACCTCCCTCAGCAGCTGGGGGAGCTTGAACCACAGACCTTGCCGCTTGGCCAGCAAGCCTATGCTTGCCTGATGGCACCTGCAGGGCTCCTTAATGGCCACAATAGGAAACTTTAAAGTTTTTATCTTAATTGGGCCTTAGGAGCGCTGTGGTGAGAGTGCAGTTCTACATGGCTTCTCTTCATCTTCCGTTCCCCGGCTTCGGGTGGTCTTTCGTCCTTTGATCCAGTAGTTCCCATGTAGACACGGTGCTGCTTCTGTCCTGCAGACAGAAAAAAATAGGATTTGGACTATCTGAAGAGGTGCCGCATTACCGGAAGGGCTTAACGGGCAAGATGTTCAGTGAGTGAGCTGGGACATGCCGCCCACCCTCAATGTCTTACTTAGATGTGTCCTTTCTAAAGGAAGCAGCTGTGTGAAGACCACCCCCACCCCACCTCACCCCACCTTAATGCCTGCTCTAATGTGGAGGCTGTAGGAGAGCAGGCAGTGTGCCAGAAACGCCAAGACTTGAGTTCGAATCCTACCTCTGCCCCTGATTTCTTGCACTCACCTCTACGTGTAAGCCTCACTGTTCCTTCCTGCGCTGACACCCCTACGCTCACATGCCCTCTTAGTCTTGGTGTGCTCACCCGCCTGCCCCCACCCTGCTGTGTGGATGGAGACCCACGGCCGAACGGCAGTGGCTCACCTTGATGTGGATGCTGTGGATGGCGAGGTCCTTGCGCAGGACATCACAAGCCTGAAGCAGGGGCTGCCTCTCCAGGAGCTGCTGCCGCCGGGCATCCCCTGAGGCTTCCTCTGTGGCCAGCGCATACTGACGCACCTGCTGCCGGAACCGAACTAGCTCGTCCACCACGCTGCACAGCATGGCCGCACTACTGTCTCCTGAAGTAAACTGAAGACAGGCCCAAGGTTAAGTGCTCAGCCACGTCCTGGACAGCAGCGTGTAGCCGTCCAACGCGGACGCAGAAGACCAGGTTCTGCTGTTGTGTCTACAGCGAATCCAGTGCAGAGAGCAGGTCAGTGCAGGTCTGTTCTTCCGAGCCCTAGAGCACGGGGCCTCATCACAAAAGCCCCATCAGCCAGCAGCTTTCATTAGGGATGCAGAGTGAAAGGATGCGGCTGCGGGCTCTTGACAAGTCTCTACTGGCGCAAAACAGCAGCCCTAATGTCCCAAGGCCCCTCATCTCTATTTTGGGTGTCTCAACACTCAAGGGACACTACCGAGCATCCTTCAGGAGCTGGAAGGGGAAGGGTTCCGGCCACCCTCCCCTTCCTTCCTCTGGCCTGAGGCCCCGGTCAGGTGCTTGCAATGCAGCCTCCAGAGCTTCTAGGAACCTAGGAGAAAAGGTGAGGGGCGGGGCCAGGGAACTCCACCACCAATCTCTACAGCCCTAGCTTGTGGGAAAGATGTTTATCCGCCCCTTCACTCAGAAGAGTCTAGAAGTCTAAGCTATGTGGATGAATTAAGTCATTTAAACCAACTACGGTCACGGTAACCAAATATTTAAAATACCGCAGCCATCCCATGCAGGGCACATTCACACACTGCTGTGACTGAATGGTCTGAGACCAGCTAGACAAATTCATCAGGAGGACGAACACGCGTGAATACCGTTTCCTTATAGCCAGTACTCCTCCCTCCCTCCACTACGTCCTCTGCCCAGGAGAACAGATGATCGTGACGGTTCAGAAAATGCAGCTGCTGTTATGTGAACACATGTAAATAAGAAACAGCCTCAATCTTTTCTTGCTTCCACAATCAGAGAGAAGGTTTTCAATACAAAAAATGGGGCTCCAAGTGGGGCCAGACTCCAACATCTGAGTTTAAGAGAAGGTGAATTTGCTCATTTTGATAGCAGCCAGCTACAGGCCCCTTTTCCTACTCAATGAGGAGCTCGGGGGCATAGAGGGCTACAAATTGGGCTGCTAACCCCAGGGTCAGCAGTTCAAATCCACCAGGTGCTCCAAGGGGGAAAAGAAGGGTCTGCCCATAATGATTGACAGCCGCAGAGGCCGAACGAGTGGTTGTACTCTGCTCCATAGTCAGAGTCGGCTCGATGGTGGGGGCTGTGGGTTTGAGGTTTGCGTAACAGCAGTCTCTGGAAAGCCTCATCTAAAATAGAATACAGATATTCAAGGACTTGCTCTGCTCTGGACAGGGGTTAAAAGACTTTCGTATAAATGGAGGCAGAGTGGGCCAGAAAAGGTTAAAAATAAAATAAAAGTCAACCAGTATATATATAAAAAAGTCTATGCACCAACATGCGTATAAAATATGTACATCTAAAAGATAAATATACAAACAAATCACACTTCAAAATCACCCCCCAGGAAATTGTGATTCTTTCTTGCATTAAGAACTGGCCATTCATGTGGCGAGACCAAGGAGCTTGTTCCGGGTGCTGTCGAGGGGGTTGCCCAGGAGGCAGCAGCAGAACCCACCTGAGAGACCCGCTCAGAACTTGTGTCCAGAACAGGGAGGTCAGGGAGGCTGAAGGGACTGGTCCAGGCAGAGACCAGAGGGAGAGCTAAATCCAACGTGAGGCTCGGAGCAGGATCAGAAAACCACACCTGCTCCCTAGAGACCGATTCCAGCTGGGCATGACCGTAAAGCTATCAAGGGCTTTGTGCAGACAATTGGCAAGGGCTGCTGGGTCAATGTTACGGTGTTGGTATAGAGAGAGGTACACAGGTTGTGGAGCAAGATGACCTTATTTGCAAATAATAGGTATGAAGGTTTTAAGGGCTGATGGGCTTCAAATTGGCAACAGTTGGGGGGGGGGGGTGTTCTGTGACTGTACACGTAACTTTTCTAAAACTAAAGATTCTTTCAAGATGGAAGACATGCCAGAAATAAATATTCACAAGACTGCCGTTAGCCTACTTGCTGGGGCTAAAATTAGCTGATTTCTAGTCTTCCCGGTTAAAGTTTGCCAAATGTTTCCATTTCAACACAGAAGTAAAAGGTGGATCTGAGTGTTTTGTTGTTGCTGTTTCGTTTTTTCAAAAAGGAGCCATTTTTTAAGTGTGCAAACAAAAGATTTGGGCATTCTAGCCATTCGTGAAAATTGAAATTTAAAAGCAAAAAAAAAAAAAAAGTTACTATTACTGTAAGCTCATTGGACAATTAAGCTTTTACAAGAGAAGGCTGTACCTGCCGATCTGTCAGAGAAATTCCCACCGCTTCTAAGAACTCTTCGATGTAGGAGACCATGGCGCCAAACACAGCAGGGCTCCGAGGACCGGCGGTTTCCTGCAACAGAGGACCCAGTGGAGACCCTTCACAAGCAGTCTTGACGTCGGTGCGCACAGGACGGCTTTAGTTCTCAACTTGTATATCAAAGAACCAAGGCTTCAGGCCCGTCACGTCCACCTGTGGCTTTCCCTGTGTGTGTAGGCGGATTCAGGGCATCAGACCAAAAAGGGCAAAAGAAACTCGCCATAACTCACAGAGACCCCACAGGACAGGGCAGAACTGCCCTGTGCGTTGCCAGGACTGAACCTCCGTATGGGGGTAGAGAGCCTCTTTTCCCCATGGAGCAGCTGGTGGTTTTGAACTGCTGAACCTTGTGGTTAGCAGCCCAGTGCCTATCAGACACTGTGGGTTAATACTGGATTGGCCACTCAAGGGCAAGCCAAGCGCAGGGTAAGCCATCTGCCTCACCTCTGAGCATCAGCTGGCGGGTCTAACGTGGGGATAACAACAGAATCCGCAGCTCGGTGCCTCCTGAGGGCTCCGCGTGAGGGTGCGTTTACAGCAAGCCGGGAGGGAGAGGGGAGCGGACGGAATTTCCGAATCAGAATAAATGATGAGGAAATGTTGAGACATGTTCTGTCTCCTCTCGGGCTTGATGACAAGTCACCAAATTGGCAAGGGTGGCGAATCTGGTGTAAGGCCAGCCTTTGTCCCTGTGCCAACAGAACCGCACACAGGTCAGAAAGAGGTCACTTGGGCAATCTGACTCGGCAAAAAGCCAGTCCTGTTTCATAGGCCTGCCCGGCCCGCCCCTCAGGAGGGCCTGATCTCTCTCACCACGTCCTCTCATTCCAATGAAGAACCACTACAAGTGGCTGACCGCCGTGACTGATGGCAGCTTATGGGGTAGGTAGTGCGGGAGGGGCTCGGGCAGAAAACAAGTGAAGAAAACTTGTGAACAAAGTGAGTGGCTGGCTAACAGGGGAAAGCTCACATGCTGGGCATGGTCTCGGTCCGCTAGTGAGGGCACCTTTTCTTTGGGGGACGGGGAGGGGGTGTCACAGGTAGTTGCCCTGGACCTGCTTCAGTCTCCATCCTCAGTCTCGGAGCACTGTTAAGTTGGGGTCAAGAATTCCTGCATCAAGCTGGAAGTTTAATTTTACTTCTCCCACCAAGTACCTACCTACCTGCGTCTGCCTGAGAGCAGAGGAGACTGCCCTCCTGTGCTGTGTGTGGAACTCCCAGTCCAAAGTTGTGATGATACAGGCAGGGGGGCCACCACCCACTTAGCTGCCTCAGAATCGCTCGCTGAAGGAGCAAGCGCCGGGCCCTGTCTGCAGGGCATTCTGACTCGGGGTTCCAGTTGGGGACGGAGACCCTCCCCCGGGATGCTGAATGACGGGAGGAAGGGTTTGGGCTGGAGGAATGGGACTG